AAATGTGTCCAAATGCTTTTTAAATTCTTGACAGGTTGTAAAGATATAAAGTAAAAAAAAAATAATAGAATCAGTTATGCCGGCTTTCCATTTACCTTAGTAAAGAAACTAGTCTGTGAACCTGACTATCTTATCTTCCTTTAGATTATTGTTAATGATTGTGTATACCTGTATGAATTATGTGGTCATACTATGGCTCAGTTTCCTCATTTATAAAATGAGAACAAATATATCTACCTCATAGGGTTAAGGACTGCAGAAGTCAATGCATGTAAAACACTTAATGAAGGTTAACTGGTATTTGTTTTATAGTCAAATGAACCATGAAAATATTGCATACATGGATGTTAAATCCAATATAAGAAATGTAAATTCAAAGATGACTAATATATTTAAAAAGGAAACATGCTTTAATAAAACTACACGGAGAGAGGGAGACAGACATTCCCCCATCCGTGGCCCTGATTTAGTAAAGAACTTTTCTGCAGGAATAAATGACTTAGTACTTTCTTACCTTAAAAGTCTGGATCGCTACATATTTTGGTATACCTAAATCCTGAAGACTCCTAAGTTACAAAGAGTAGGAAAATTTAAAAGTAAACTTACTTCCGCCACACAACGTAGATAATTTCCCTGTAAATAGTAGCCCTGTTTAGAAGGCAGTTCATCTATACTCCACACCTGATCTGAATAACTGTCATGTTCTTCCATTATGTATTTCCCTGACATAGTAACAGGCGGAAGGTTAAGACTGGCAGAAGGAGGAATGGTTGACATATCTGTGGCAGAAACTTTTGAAGTAAAACGTAATCTGTGATTTGGCAGCTCAAATGTAAATCTTGTCTGTGCACCTGTAAGAAATAAGAAAAGTTATTGTTTATGAAGGTGCTCATTCACTCATTCATTCCTCACTTTTTCCAAAAATGGTGTCTACGAAAAATGTATGAATATTGCACTAGCACTACTGCCAGCATCACCAAATAAAAACATCAAGATTGAAATAATCCAAGGCCTCAGTTACTGGGTCATACCTTATCACTAATGCAGTCATTTTTTTACTGTTCTTGTCCCTTTCCTTCATTTCAAGAAGAATTTGGGGTTCTTATATATTTGACAAAATGTTTACTCTGCTTCTAAATATTTCTATCTTCCTAGTTCTAAACTGCCTATCTGGCTTTTGATTTGCTGCTTCTGTTGACCCTTGTATTTCATGGGTGTTCTAAATAAATGAGTCTAATTTATTGTAAGCCCTGTCCTCCAATATCTGAAGCCCTAAGGCTCCTAACTTTGACAGATCTGGAAACACACTTTAGAGTACTTTTGTTTCTGGTAATATAAAAGTCTAAATGTTCAGAAAAACCCCTCTTAATAAAGAAAACATAAAATGCTAGGGATGGAAATACATTTATACATACATACATACATAAATACATACACAAATGTATGTATGTTTATATATATATATGAGAGTTTTAAAAATTATTAATGTAATTTATCATGTTGACAGAATAAAGGAGAAAAAAACATTTTCATTTCAATAGAAACAGAAGGAAGTATCTGATTATATTTTGCAATTATTCGTCATAGAAACTCTTACCACGTTAGAAAAAGAAGTACATTTTCTTAACCTAATGAAAGGAACCTAGAAAAAACCCACAGCAAATATTAGATTCACTGGTAAAATGCTGATTCCACTAAAAAATGGGAATAAGACAAGGCAAGCACAATAAGACAATACAAAGAAATAAAAGGCATAAAAGCTGGAAAGGAAGAAACAAAATATCATTATTTGCAAATAGTATGATTGCTACAAAAAAAACCCTACAAAGAATCTACCATTTATTAGCAATAATAAAATATTTAATATGGCTGTTGAGTATGAGATTAACATAAAAGCATCAAGCATACCACCAACGAAGTTTGGAAAAATGCCATTTTACAAAAGAGAATATTTGTAATAGCTACAACAACAACACAGGTATCTAGGTACCTAAATAAATAAATATCTTGCAGAAGTTGCACAAAAACCTTTAAATAGAAAAATTTTTAACTTTATGGCAAAATATTAAAGAAAACCTAAAGAGACAGAGAAACAGACTTATTCAGAACTAGGAGGGTTAAATATTGCATAGTTGTCAATCCTCCCCAAAATAAATTTATAGATTCAGTGAAATTCCTATAAAAATTCAAAAGGGCTTTTTCAGGGAATATGACAGACTGATTCTAAAATGTATATGGAGCAGCAAAGAACCAAAAATAACCAGAGCAATTCCTAAAAATGGAAAAGTCAGGTAGCAATGAGATACTGGTGCAAATAGACCAATGAAACAGAATAGAAAACTCAGAAATAGACTCCATATGTAAAAAACACTTAATATATGACTAATTTTTGGATAATGAATCACTAAAAAAAAGGAATGGATTAGTCAATGAATGATGCTGAGATAACTGGGTATGCCTACTACCCCACAGCAAGTTTAAAAATAATAATCATCATCAATTCAAAATAGACTAATAAATATGCATAGCAAAACTCAAAACATCTAAGAAAAAATATTAGAGAATATCTTCATGATCCTGGGAAAAGAAGGATTTCTTCAGGACATAAAAATACACATCATACAGGAAAATACTAGTAAATTCAGTTACATTAAAATTAAGACTATCTGTTGATCAAAAGACAAAGTGAAATGATAAGCTTCTAACTGGGTGATCACACATGTTAAACATATAACATCAAAGATATAATATACAGAATATATAAAGAATTCCTGTGAATCAAGGAAAACATAAATGCCTTGATGATAAGTTGGCAAAAAAACAAACAAGCAAAAAAGAACCATCAACAGGCGTTTCATATAAAGAAAACAAATAAGGAGCTCTTAATCATATAAAAAAGATTCAGCTTTATTAGTAATCAAAGAAATATAAATTAAAA